TTGGACACAAGTCAGAGAGTGTAGGGTGTGAGGCAGTAGTAGTAGTAGTAGTAGTAGAATATAGTTTTTAAAGATTGTCCCCTTTTACCACACTACAAGGGGGTACCTTGATGCTAGTGAAGGGCTCTAGGTCAAAAACTTGGAGCTACTCTTTCTTGGGTCAAAACTGAAAAGCAGGGGGAATGTTCTCCCAGTAAGGCATTTTAGGAAAAAATTTAGCTTCTTATTAAAACCCCAAACCAAAGGGGGGGATTGGGAAAAACCCTGATTTTGTTTTCATAAAATTTCCAGACCATTGCGTTAGCCACTGGACCCCTAGCCACAATAAAAATTAAAACCAACTTTGGTATATTTATACCCCCATAAAGGTTAGCCCTAGGCCCACCGTTACCCCAAATTTCAAGTTTTTAAAAGACGAATCCGTCGGTCTGGATTTTATGCTCTGTTGCGGGTTTTTAAACCCCCCCCTGGTATGGGTTTTTTTGGGAATTGTCATTTTGATTTGTGAAACTTGGGTTTTTTTATTATTGTTTAAAATTTTTAAAAATTTTGTAGCTTCAGTACCCGAAACAAGTTTGTGATAACTTGTAGGGCTGCAGGGAGCTAAAGTTAAAAGTTGGTTGATTAAGCATTAATGAGGAAAGGGGGGGTGACCCCCGGGGGGGGGGTGCAAGGGTAGAACCCTAGAGACATGCTGTCTGTCTCACTGAGGCGGGTGACCCCCCCCCCCCCAGAAAAAAAGAAACACTTAACCAATTTTTCACATTTCAGTGGGCTTTTTCAGAGGTGTTCAGTTTCTTTTTTTTAAAATTTTTTCTTTAAAAAAAGCATACAAAATTTATTAAAATTTTTTAGCTTGGGAATATTTGCATTTCAAGGTTTATTATGGGAAAGTTAGGCCATGGGAAAAACGTAACGCAGAAATATCCCCCGGCTCATTGGGTGGACCACCCGACCCGGCCCAAAGGTTTGGGGCCTGGGTGTCTGCAGGGTTTCCGGCCCAGCATGGGTGACCCAGGAAGGTGAACTCTATACCTGGGGAGAAGGAGATTATGGAAGACTAGGTAAGAAGTAATAATGATTTTATGTAAATGATTTAGATAACTGCAAGTTGAAGAATTTGAGTATCTTTATTATGGAAACGTTCTGCCAACCAGTGGCTTCTTCAGTCTAGTACAGAGAAGAATGGTGGAAGATAAGGAGGAGTTTGAGGTAATCAGTCCCTTAGCCTGGAATTGATGTACAGTATTACATTTCTGTAGTCAAGATTCCCAAGTGTTGCACGAGTCTGTCATTCTTCAATGTTTTTTTTTTTTTTTTGCTACATAAGCAGTCTCACACCAAAGTAAAATGACCTCCTTCCCTCCCCCCACCCCCCCAAAAAATGACCATTTGTTCAGTAGCTGTCTTGTTAAATCGGTGGGAGACAGTCGACTTGTTGAAAAAAAAAAAAAATTATAATTTAAATGATCATCTGAACCACAACATCCCCAGCCCATCCTCAGTGCAGGCACCGTGCTTCTCACTTCCAGGACTCTAGTCAGATAAACCAGATTAACTTGATATCCAAATTTTCATTACCTAAACTTTTGGTTACTTTCATTACCCTGCTCCTGTCTATCTTCACTTTCAACTTCCTTCTTGTACACATAGTGGAAAATGATACTGTCCAAGTTGTTATACAGTGTATGCGTATATTTGTGTATGTAATACAGTCTTCTCACTTAGCGACGTACTCGCTTACCAATGACTCGGACTTATGACAGGCTCTCTGACCAGTATACATATCTAAATACAGTGGACCCCCGCCTTACGATATTAATCCGTTCCTGAGAGCTCATCGTATACCGAAATTATCGTAAGGCGAATTAATTTTCCCCATAAGAAATAATGGAAATCAAATTAATCCATGCAAGACACTCCAAAGTATGAAAAAAAAAAATTTACCACATGAAATATTAATTTTAATACACACAAACTGAAGAAGACATGCATAGTTAATACGTACTCTACTAAGAATAGAATACATGACACTTACCTTTATTGAAGATCTGGTGATGATTGATGGGATGGGAGGAGGGGAGAGTGTGGAAGTTATTGTTTAGAAGAGGAATCCCCTTCCATTAGGACTTGGGGTATCAAGTCCTTTTCCGGGGTTACTTCCCTTCTTCTTTTAATGCCACTAGGACCAGAGTCGTTGGACTTCTGTCGCACAACATATCAGTCCATAGAGCTCTGCACCTCTCGTTCCTTTATGATTTGTCTAAAGTGGTTCACAACATTGTCATTGTAATAGTCACCAGCATGGCTTGCAATAGCTGTGTGAAGGTGATTTTCATCCATAAAGGTTTGCAGTTCAACCCACTTTGCACACATTTCCTTAATCTCTCTTTTCAATTCCATACTAATTCTCATCCTTTTTACCACAGGGATGGCACTAGAAGCTTTCTTGAGGGTCCATGGTGACTTTGCAGTTACAAGCACTAAAATCACTGGGATAATGTGAAATGTACCGAATGTATGGGTAGTTGCGACCGCACTGGCTGGCTTGTAAACACTGGCACTGAGGCCACATGTGGGACGCGTCCTGGATGAATCACGTAAGGCGCGTTTTTTAGCGTGAGGCAAGGCAAAATTTTTGCGTTAAAATGTATCGTATTCCGGATTTAACGTAATGCTATGCCATCGTAAAGTGGGGGTCCACTGTAATGTATATTAGAGCTGCTTTCCTCTATTCTGTTTTACAGTATACAGTACACTGCTGTATAAATATTTAAAAATATATCAGAAAAGGTGACTTTAAAACATTATCAAAGATGGTTGACACAGACCCACTACCATTATAGTATGCTCCTCTCTTAGTGATGAATTTGTTTACCGATGTGGTCTTGGGAGCAGAACTCTGTCATTAAGTCAGGAGAAGCTGTATTATGTAGTACATAGCACAGTTACGGGAAGTAGCTAAGTCCTTATACTCTATAGTTATTACACTTGCAAAAAAAGTTTAGCAGTATCAAAACAGTCTGTGGAATGAAGGGCTAACTGTGAATCATAATTCAGTTAAAATTAGTGAAATGATATAATTGCCTTTATATATACATGTAAACTGATTCACCAATGAAAAACTGTGAAATAGAGACATTACTGAAGATAGCCAATAGCAACAAAAGTGATTAGTGTCTGTGTCTTGCATCTTTTATCAGGAGCAGCACCAGGGTTTCAATACTGGGGGAAATTTTTGGGGTGGATGTCTGGTTAGGAGGAGGGCTACAAGACTAGAAAGATTTTTTTTTTTTTTTTTTTTTTTTTTTTTTTTTTGCCATACCAACTGTCTCCCACCGAGGCAGGGTGGGAAATGGCCAGCATTTGCAGAGTTGCACAGATATGATGGTTCAGATGTCACTCCAAACAGCAGATATCCCAAATCCCTCCTTTAAAGTGCAGTCACTGTACTTCCCACCTGCAGGACTAGTCCAGCTAACTGGTTTCCTGAATCCCTTCACACACTCCAACAGCTTGTCAAGTCCCAAAAACAATTCTTCTCCACTCACTCCTATCCAACACACTTGCACATACCTGCTGTATGTCCAAGCCCCTTGCATACAAAACCTCTTGTACCCTTCCCTCCATCTTTTTCTAGGACAACCCATACCCCTACTACTACTACTACTACTACTACTACTACTACTACTACTACTACTACTACTACTACTACTACTACTACTACTACTACTACTACTACTACTACTACTACTACTATACTACTATACTACTACTACTACTACTACTACTACTACTACTACTACTACTACTACTACTACTACTACTACTACTACTACTACTACTACTACTACTACTACTACTACTACTACTCTACTACTACTACTACTATACTACTACTACTACTACTACTACTACTACTACTACTACTACTACTACTACTACTACTACTACTACTACTACTACTACTACTACTACTACTACTACTACTACTACTACTACTACTACTACTACTACTACTACTACTACTTACTACTACTACTACTATACATATAATATAATTTTTTTAACATGTCTGTCGTCTCCCACCGAGGCAGGGTGACCCAAAAAAAATACTTTCATCATTCAACACTTTCACCTCATACATAATCACTATCTTTGCAGAGGTGCTCAGATACTATTTTTATTGAGGGACTGAGGGAATTTTTAGGGACTGAAGGCTCTCCAGGCATCCCCTTGGTGCTACTGCTGTTATTTATATGTATCAAATTTATTAATAATGAACTCAGGAAAGACTAAATTTAAAGGAAATGAAAAATTATATAACGATAATGCAGTATAGTGAACAATCTCTTTGAAGTGTGGGGAGGAGGTTGAGGAAAGGGGATGTTTGAATGTTGAAGCAACAAAGAGAAGGTGGAAATGCAGTGTATCACACTCACTATAAGATTTTGATGTATTGATATCAACAAGAGTACAGTGGACCCCCGCTTAACGATCACCTCCAAATGCGACCAATTATGTAAGTGTATTTATGTAAGTGCGTTTGTACGTGTATGTTTGGGGGTCTGAAATGGACTAATCTACTTCACAATATTCCTTATGGGAAAAAATTCGGTCAGTACTGGCACCTGAACATACTACTGGAATGAAAAAAGTTCGTTAACCGGGGGTCCACTGTATAATGCACCACATTGATCAGTTATGCTTACGCTTTTCTCACCGAATTTAGAAAATTTTTATTTTTCAGTCTGGTTAAAGCCAGGGGAAAATTGATGTAAGTTTTGTTGTGGGAACCCTGACTTGTGTATCATCTAAAACAAGCCCTCTTTTTCAGAAATTTGTTGAAATGTTGGTGTGTTAGATTGTCAGGTTTAGTAAGTGAAGGTGTTTAGGTAAAGTTAAATTTGGTTGGTGAAGGTGTTTAGGGTCTCAGGCGAATATGTATGTATGCCATTTTAATGGGTACTTATGCTCTTAAAAGCAATATTTTTTGTCAGGTCATGGGGACAGTACAAGTCGCAATGTACCTACACTTGTCCGTGATATATCTGGTGTGGGTCAAGTCGTGTGTGGTAGTGCCCACACACTGGCTCTCTCAGCTGATAGTCGAACTGTGTGGTCTTTTGGCTCGGGTAAGTCATCTTAATCCATTGTTGCTCTGTCTTGTGGATGGTAAGTAATTTTAACCCTTTCAGGGTCCAAGGCCCAAATCTGGAGTCACGCACCAGTGTCCAAGAATTTTCAAAAAAAAAATTTGTTATTTTTTCTTATGAAATCGTAGAGAATCCTTTTGTGAAGGTAATAAAACAAAAAGTACGAAATTTGGTGGAAAATTGACGAAATTATGCTCTCGCGAATTTTGATGTGTCAGCGATATTTACGAATCGGCGATTTTCCCGACTTTGACTCCCATTTTAGGCCAATTACATTATTCCAATCAACCAAATTCTTAGCTATTTCACTAGTATTACTTCTATTCTATCGATTGAGCACAAGAAATCGCCAAGTCAACTGTTTCAACTACAAAATAAAGTGATCGGAAATTGTTAATTTGGCCAATTTAACACAAAGTTCAAAATATTCCAATTTCAAAATAGGGTCCAGAATAAACAATGTAGGCATTCCTGGCACTAAACTAACATTTCCTCTGTTCATTAGTCATGTTTTGAGGCTTTACAAATAAATTCCATTTTGATTTTTTATTCACATAATGAATTTTTATTCACACCAAAAAATAGAAGATTTACTGCTATGCAATACTGTAATAATTGTATAAATATCATCACCATATTTGTGAATGTATATTAGACCCACCAGCTGACGTGTATTAGACGTGCGAGGTCGTTTGTTTACTCTTGAATATCGGCAAAAATTTAACATTTCCGCTACTTTGAGCTCAGTTTCAAGCCATTTCCAGTGCTAAAACCAATCAAAATCATCTCTATTTCTGTAATATGTCTTCCATTCTATCAAATGAGACCAAGAAATCGCAAATACAACTATAAAAAACATACGAAAAAACACTGCAAAGTTGCTGTTTTAATAAAAAAATCATGATTTCAGTTTTTTTCTCTCATTATACACAGTGTGCTGCAGGATCTGTTTTATGTGGTGCACACATACCACATAGATGTATTCTCTCATATCTAGGCCCAAATGTACCACTCACAGTTTATCAGAGTGAGCTGAGCTCATGGCGTAGATCTACGGTTTGGACACTCACCATAAAGCCGTAGATCTACGGGACGGACCCTGAAAGGGTTAAGTGGTCCAGTGTGTTAAATAATCTTTTCCTCATTTTATTGTGTGTTTTTTCTTCGAGATGTGTAGAAAATTATATTAACCTTTCAAAGATTGGTTTACAGAAGTCCCCCCAACGCACCGGCCATATCCAGCTGAGGCAGGGCGACCTTTTCAGGAGGTTGTTTACAAACTTGTTTTCTGCATTAAAGATATATTTGAGCTTATGTCACCTCCCAGAAGCTTAAGACGAGAACATAATTTGGATATTCCCTACTGCCATTCAACTTGTCCAGTTGTTGGCAGAATGAAGAGGATATGTATGTTTTTTTTTTTTTTTTTTTTTTTTTTTTTTTTTTTTTTTTTTTTTTTTTGGCTCTTACATTTGGAATTTGTGGCTACCTGGAGTAAATCTAGAGAGTATTTTGGAGATCAGCGCCCCTACGGCCCGGTTTATGATCAGGCCTCGCAGTTGATCAGGGCCTTATTATCCAGGCTGTTACTGCCAGCTGTGTGTAAACTGACTTTCCCCCTAACTCTTTATCTTAGCATTTCATGTGGCCTAATTTATATTTGCATTTACTGTAGTCTACTCTGAAATGTTGATGAAATTCCAGCAGTGTGTGAATGTGAAGGCCTCTGACCTGATTACTCCTGTTTTCTAGGTGTATGACCCCTTTGAGTTTAGTACTTCCTTGAGAATATAGTATTACTGTACTAATGTAACTAGTTGTGGCAATGTTGACCTGTCATGCATTCCTATGAAATAGCTTTGCAACTTCAGTACATTTTGTCTTCTGTTATTTATATCAAATTTTGTGCATGAATCTTTTAATTTTGTTGTTGGATGACTATTTCCATCACTAATGAACAGGAGACCATGGCAAGCTTGGTCACGGCGACACGGCAAAGGTGTATCGACCTCGGGTCATAGATGCTCTACAGGGCCTTACAATACGTAAGCTCACCACAGGAACCCAGGTCTCCTTTGCCCTTGCGGCTCATGGCCAGGTTAGTTACTTTAAACATTTTAATTAAAAACTTCAGGCTGAAGTCAGAAGCTGGCCTAAAGACTTTGCACCATGTTCTTCTCAAGAAAGAAAAAGTCACAGTACTGTGGCGGGAACAGTTCACAAATATCCTCGTACTTAGGAAGTTTTGGTCCGTCCTGGACTACTGTCACAACTGTTGGACTTTACAGTTGTTGAAAATAAACCAAAATCTTGTTATAAGTTTGCTAAGTGTGGATTATTTGTGAAATGTTTTCATTTTAAAGTTTCTTTCAGTGTGGTGTTACCTTGTTAATGTTCATACTACTGGTTACCTTAAAGGAAGAATCATTATTTTAGTAATGAGAAAGTGACAAAGGATTGATTATGTAATTTGTCACATAATGATTATTGAGTAATTTATATTTTGAAATTCCTTTCAGCTGTCTATTAATGAGACATGACAAACATGACATAATATAGCATAGTCTTCTTCTAGTGCTGTCTATAAGTCAAACTGCTTCAGTATATGTATATAGATATATACACAGTTGCTGTGGTATAGCTGATCACTTTGTATATATTCTGATTAGTGCATCAAGTGTATGTACGCTAGGAGGCGTGTGTATCAGCTGGTATACACTTAATTTAACTATAGTTTAGTGAACACTTGTCGATGCTCAATAATAATTCACATTGAGACAAACTCAGGAGATTGATTGAGCTGTATATTTTGACTCCATTTTGGGCTCCTCTTCAGCTGAAAAAGATCCCAGAAGGGGGTTGAAATATACAGATCAATCAATCTCCTGAGTTTCTCGTGTGGGTTATTACCGAGTACACTTTGGTTATTTTAATCCCTATACTAGGAGTTAAAGGTAACCTTGACTGGTAGCATACAGATGACATATAGTCCTAATTATTTTTTCATGCAGTGATAGACATTCAGGTTAATAAAACACAGCTGTTACAAGTAGCTGGTACAAACAGCTATTTTAAGCAGCTGCTACAAAGAGCACAAGTTACACATACCCACACTTTTGTGCAAATGGAGTGATTATCAGTTAATATTTTAATTACAAAATGAGGATTATAATTCATTTTTAAACTGGAGACCTGCATTGGGTTAAGTAATTTGACAATGAGGATTATCTGTGACTGATTTCAAATTGTTAGTTTCTTAAAATCTATGTAAGAAAGACATCATATTCAGTAACTAAGATATTTTTATTAAGGAAGAGTTACCAAATGTTGAAAGAAGAAAAGCTTTGTTTCTTCTTTTTTGGTCACCCTGCCTTGTTGGGAGATGGCTGGTGTGTTAAAAAATAAACTTGCTGCACATGTCTCTCTCCCTGAGTGAAGTTTAAAACATTTGACCCCCGGAGCTTATGTTCTGTTTGCTTGTGTCCTCATTAGTTTCTCGTCATATGTGAACGAGGACACCTCTGGCTCTATCCCCTCTGTCATGTCATTCACATATACAAGAATCTGCACTGATCCTAGTACTGATCCTTGTGGAACCCCACACGTCACATCCACCTATTCTTCTCCGTGTTAATCGCCATTTGTAATCTTTCTTAAAAAAAAAAAAAAAAAAGCTTTTAGTGTGAAATGTTTTTGGTGTTGTGATGAGCGGAAATATTTAGTAGCACATCTGTGATGTGAGTTTGGAATGTGTATGTAAAGAATGTGACATAATTTGAGCATTAGCTATTGAGGGCTCAGTACTAGTTTGTCTTTGAGTGTTTTGAGTTATTAGCATCACTTGTAATGTTTTTTTTAGTTGCATATAAACACAGTTCATTTTATTGTGGCGCATGATTTAAAGTATAATCGTTTTATCATATTAGATGAAGCTTTCACTCCGTTTATAATGCGTTTTGTGTGTGTGTGTGTGTGTGTGTGTGTGTGTGTGTGTGTGTGTGTGTGTGTGTGTGTGTGTGTGTGTGTGTGTGTGTGTGTGTGTATTCCCTTTTTATACACCCTTCACAACTCTTCCCCCTTCCTCCCTCCCTCTCACCCTCCCTCCCTCCCTCCCTCCCTCCCTCCTTCCCTTTCTCCTTCCCTTTCTCCTGTCTCAGTTTAATGTTATTCTAAAGGAGGGATTATTTTTAACTTGGTAGGAATGTGAAAGTATGCTTACATTGATTTTAAATACGTTGAAAAGTTTCCTAACTAAAAAATGGAGATGTTTTAATTACTTGTTAAATTTCAATAGAAAGTTTTTCTTTAACAATAGATAGATAAAAAATAGAACTGAGGCCATTCATCTCTAGACTGTAAAGTGTAAGTGATAGTCTTTCTCTGTTCACAAGTGTTAGTTTACTCACCATTTATAAAGATCTGTGTTTTTAACATGCTCGCCTTCTCCCACTTTGGGTGACACAAAAAAAGAACACTTCACCATCACTCAGGCAGTTGCTGTCGTTATTGTGGCAGCATTTTGCTCTCCAGGAGCTTTGTCAATCCATAACTGCTTGAGAAAGTTCCTGGAGAGTGAATTGTTGCCACAATAAAATGTTATAGTCACTATCTTGCCAGAAGCATACCTACATCATAGTAAATATCCCCCACTCTTCCTTCAGAGTAGTCACTGTACTTCTTACCTCCAGAACTAAGTCCAGCTAACTGGTTTCCCTGAATTCCTTCATGAATGTTACCTTGCTCACACTTGAACAGTGTTAAGTCATAAAAACCACTTGTCCCCACTCGGTCCTATCTCTCATGCTCACACAAGCCTGTTAAAACAAACAAATTTTATTTCTTTGTGCAATATAAGAAGTGTAGGTTACATAAAATATTATAAACACAAAAAGTTGACCCCCTAGCACTCACAACTTTCTTTACTCCCTCCAACCTTTCCTTGGTTAATTCTTACCCCTCCTTCCCTCCATTGCAGATTTATACACCCTCTCCCAGTCATCCTATTCTGCTCCTGTTTTGCATCTTAAATTTATGCAATAAGATCACAGTAAATAGGTGATATGAGAATATGCAAAACAACCACTGTGAAAGGATAGTGAAATTCCAAGCGCTTTCGTGACTTTTCACAGTGCATCTTATATTTATATATAGTTCTTCAGTCTTGGTTAACTCCTCTTATATTCTTGTATATACTGAGTCTGAGTTTGTGACCATTAAACTAGTGTAATGATTAATAGACATTTTAAATGACTTCTGGGAGTCAAATGCTGAAGGAATAATTGAAAAGAGTTTCCAAAGGATTCATTGTGCTTGTTTGGCTATCACAAATATGGCAAATGCCACATATGTTGAGAAATGATAATGTATTGATGGAATAAGGATTGTCTCTGCAAGGTTGTGCAAGCAAGTACACTAAGAAGAACAGTTTGTGAAGAAGAACCACTTACAAATGCAGAAAATGTCACTTACAAAAGCAGAGAGTCACTGACAAAAGCAGAGAGTGTCACTTACAAATACAGAAAGTGTCACTTAAATTAAGAAATGAGTGCAAATGAGGCCGCCAAAAAAAGAAAGACATAGAAAAAGTGAAGAAGGCACAAGTATGAAAAAACATGGCAAAGAATGGTTCCATGGTATATAATAAAAGGGAACTGTGTAAGAGGGAAACACAGGACAAAATAGTGAAGTAGTGTGCATTGGATGCAGCTGGAAACAGTTTTCAAAAGGGATGAAAACGCGCACAAATGCAGTGTAACAAGATCTTCGTTGACATCATTATTATTATAATAAAAAAAAGTGCTAAACCTACAGGGGTCATACAGTGGTCTTTGTTAACAATGTTTTGCCTAGACAGTGAGCTACAAAGAGAGGATAAAGGAATCCAGCCGTAATGACCTTGAAGGACAGAAGGGCTGGGGGGAGACATGATAACAAATGTACAAGATTTTTTGAGGAATTGACAACGCATGTAGAGACAAGCTGTTTGAGAGTCTAGAAACAGATACTTAGGGGCACAGCTGTAAGACACGAGTCACAGGAATGTCAGGAAGTATTTCTTCAAATCTCAGGGTAATTGGAAAGTGGAATGACCTCTACAAAGAAGTGGTGGAGGGAGAAGAGACTATGCATAGTTTTAAGAATAGGTATGACAGGGTCCATGAGGCTGAGAGAATGAGAGAGAGAAAGAGAGAAAATGAGAATGAGAGAGAGAATGAGAGAGAGAATGAGAAGGAGAGAGAATGAGAGAGAGAGAATGAGAGAGAGAGAAGAGTGAGAAGAGAGGAGAAATGAGGAGAGAGAATGAGAGAGAGAGAATGGAGAGAGAGAATGAGAGAGAGAGAATGAGAGAGAGAGAAGAGAGAGAGAGAATGAGAGAGAGAATGAGAGAGAGAATGAGAGAGAGAATGAGAGAGAGAGAATGAGAGAGAGAGAATGAGAGAGAGAGAATGAGAGAGAGAGAATGAGAGAGAGAGAGAAGAGAGAGAGAGAGAGAATGAGAGAGAGAGAATGAGAGAGAGAGAGAATGAGAGAGAGAGAGAGATGAGAGAGAGAGAATGAGAGAGAGAGAGAATGAGAAGAGAGAGAATGAGAGAAGAGAGAATGAGAGAGAGAGAGAATGAGAGAGAGAGAGAATGAGAGAGAGAGAGAATGAGAGAGAGAGAGAATGAGAGAGAGAGAGAATGATGAGAGAGAGAGATGAGAGAGAGAGAGAATGAGAAGAGAGAGAATGAGAGAGAGAGAGAATGAGAGAGAGAGAGAATGAGAGAGAGAGAGAGAATGAGAGAGAGAGAGAATGAGAGAGAGAGAGAGAATGAGAGAGAGAGAATGAGAGATGAGAGAATGAGAGAGAGAATGAGAATGAGAGAGAGAGAATGAGAATGAGAGAGAGAGAATGAGAATGAGAGAGAGAGATGAGAATGAGAGAGATAATGAGAATGAGAATGAGAGAATGAGAGAGAGAATGAGAGAGAGAATGAGAGAGAGAATGAGAGAGAGAATGAGAGAGAGAGAGAATGAGAGAGAGAGAGAATGAGAGAGAGAGAGAATGAGAGAGAGAGAGAATGAGAGAGAGAATGAGAGAGAGAGAATGAGAGAGAGAGAGAGAATGAGAGAGAGAGAGAATGAGAATCTGGCAGGCGA